TCATGCTGGCAGCGAACAATAAGAGCGGGGATGATGGCGCCTGGTGTGCCATCAGGGGAGGGCGGTGCTGGTAAGCGGGACTGATGGGCGGGACGCCAAGGCCACGTCATCATCTGGACCCTTGCCCCGCGTTCACCCGACCGCGCGCGGCGGGAACAGACCGGAGCCAAGTCCCGAGCCTCGCGCGCCCTACATGCCCGAGAGCTTCAATTACTAGGCTTATTAGCAATGAGTAGCTTGTATTTTAAGAGTAGTAACATGTACTATATACTGCATTTAAAATCAGGGAAAAAACGGTATAAAAATGATGTATATACATGGGGGAAGCGTCGTCGTCGTCGCCCACAGCGAGCACGCAGGCGGGAGCGATGGCGCCGTGTGTGCCATCAGGGGATGGCGGTGTTGGTGGCGGGGCCGATGGATGACGCTCAGATAACGGAGCCATCACCGTGATGGAGGATAGCGCCCGGGGCATATCGCTCGGGGGGGCTTACAGGCGTAGGAGGGGTCTTCCAAATGCATACTTGGTATATTTTAGAAAGATATCAGCGTGCTAGTGGCTCTTACGCAAATTGCGCGAATTAGCGTGGCAAACAGGGGGGGGTATGTCACGCTTATAAGTTTTAAAATACGTAAGCTCCAGGTGGGGGGCTTACAGGCGTAGGAGGGGTCTTCCAAATGCATACTTGGTATATTTTAGAAAGATATCAGCGTGCTAGTGGCTCTTACGCAAATTGCGCGAATTAGCGTGGCAAACAGGGGGGGGTATGTCACGCTTATAAGTTTTAAAATACGTAAGCTCCAGGTGCTGAGAAGGCTGAGCATCTTGAGTTAGGCCTCATGCGCATCTCACACTCGAACATTCAGGCGGCACTGAATATAAGAAAGAGGCTGCCATTATTATTCGGGCCGTTGCGCTACCGTACGAGCGGTATTTTCTGGAGTAATGCTCACGCCGCAGCGGGGAGAGAACTTTGCTCGCGTATACAGTAGTACATATATGTGCAAAGTCGAATGAATAAGATACAAGAACAAAACTAGCGCATGTATAGCTACCAGCCAGGATATACGTTCGAACACTTCTCTGGCTCCCAATACGTCTCACCTCCAGCTCGCTGGGAACGCGGGACGGTCCTCGACCGTTGTCACCAGCCAATCCCGATCGACCTCGCCTCCCCGGTCCTTCAGCTCCGCCCACCGATTCCTCCCAGACGTCTCCAGCTCGGTATCTCACTTCGCCAAGGGCAGAAACTGTATGTCGTACGCTTCCAAGCAGGGCGCAATGCTTAGGAACGGTAAGCCTAATAGATCGGCTTCCAATATTTCGACAGCTGTCCTGACATCCACTCCTTGCGGCAGGATCACCATATCGTATTCCGGGTCGTGCGCTAGCACAAAGAAGAGCCCTCCGGCCTTGAAGAGCGTGCGGACATTCATGCCCGTTTTTTGATAGACGAGAGGAGTTAGCGTGCCAAAGTAATTGAGCGTATGCTCCATCTCGTATGCGTAACGACCAAGATAGGGAATGAGGTTGACCGGATGGAACACCGGAATACTCTTGAGGTCATTTTTGGAATCGGAAGTAAGCAATGCGGACCAGTCGGACCTCCATCTTGGATGCTCTAAAGGCCGTTCTTCACGCCACGATACGGCGCGCTCTTTCAGCATATCCGTCGGCGGGTAACGCGGACCGCTATACGGGAACGGTGCGGTTGTGTCACACGGGACGGGAACCTATGAAGCGTAAACGTCAGCGGACTTGAAATACACTATACGTCGAGGCATACGGCAGCATACCTTAGAAAGCTCCATGTCGCCTAGTTCAGAGAACCCGCTCCCTTGAAGGCTGCCCGCCAGTGTCCGTGGAGGAACGGCGCTGAAGCTATACAGGGTAAGCTCGCCGAACGCATTGCCGATGACGAGTAGCCCGAGCGCGTCGTCAAAGTCGTATGTCGGCGCCAAATACAGTGCTGGCATGTCTGCACCTGACAATTTGACGGACGTCCCCTCGCTCGTGCCGTCGTCATCGGTCGGGAGTCGTGTGGTGACAAGGTCGAAGTCGTCTTCCCCCCGCTCACCGGCCATGAGGTATGACAAGGAACGACACCCGCATCCAAAGGACGGATGGAGAGTGGCCGCCACGAGTTCCTCGCCCTCCATGAAATAGGTCGGTAACGACTAGAGGTGGATAGCGCGGTGCTGGCCGTCCACCGTCTCGGGAGGGATGGTATAGACATGCATCCCGTAAGGACCGCATACAGCGACATAGATAGCGATTGAAAGCTGTGAGCCCGAATGTGTACGTTCCGTGCGTGGCGAGCATTCGGTCGAAAATTCAATCGCGGCGGAAGTGACTCGGAGGTCGAAACACATGATCTCTGTGTTAATAACCAACGGCGGAGAGCCGTCCGGCGGGAGCGTATACAGAGAAAGTCGGCGAGGTTCGACAACGGCAGCTAGGTTGTCGTAGAACGCCATTGCGACACAACCACCCTTGAATTACCATGAGGCAAGAACCAAGATGCGCAATCCAATGGCTCACCTTTGTACTGGGCTCTTGATAGAAGTGATTTACATGGTCTCGTCGCCAGTCCCAGACGCACGGCACGCTCAGCTCGTTGAAAGGCCCAAATCCAACTAAGTCCCCATGGAGGCTTCGGAGAACAGCTGCGCCCGCCAGGCTTGCTTTCGCACAAAAGGTCGGGGTCGATTGGTTCGTGTAGCGCAAGCACACTACTTGAATGGAGGGTACGCTGATAACTTCAGCTAATCATAGATGGTGGTGATCTATGCCACTATGCCTCACCTGGATCGGATCTCGAGAGCAACCACCGCGCTGTCGTCTTGCAGATCCAGCACACCGCGGTATACCGGTCCCGGAAGATAGCACTCTGTCAGCGGTGTTGCATTCTTTCCATCTTGAAACAGCGCCGGGACAGACCAGAGAGCCAGAGAGCTCTGATGGCCGTCCGAGGAGGCAACAATGAGGAGCTGGCCTTGAACGAACTTGACCCGTGTCACGGAGCGTGGCCGGTGGAGAGGAACTGAAAGGGCTTCCGGCATATTCATGCCCGATGAGCTCAGGAGATATAGGGCGTTGCAGCGATAGTGAGAGACATCAGGATATCCCAAAATGAGTCCATGTCAGCCAGAGGATGGGGGTCATCGTTATGAAAGGACAAGAAACTGTGGCCTCCGCGCGCGGGTGCGATGACAGTCGTGAGAAACCGTTGGGTGTCCCGGTACTTCCTTATTTAAGCATGGGGCGCATCACTTGTAGGCGGCGGCATCCGAAGTCGCGTTCAGCCTAGCTTACGATTCAGGTCATACGCCGGCGATCGTAGCACTGTATCATTAAATATGCGCGCACCCACGTTCACCAGAGTTGCTCTCCCTGGAGACAGAAGAAAGGCTGGCGCCTTCTAGCAGCTAGGAGGTCGAAATACTCTGTAAAATAATCTTGGTAGTGTTTACCATGCTGATGTCGGAAAGAAGCTGCCCAAGCCACAAATGTACAGTTTCAACAATGGAATGCCGCCATCTGTGCTACGATATTGTCAATGAAACAAAGTATACAATGCACATGCTGAGGAAAGGATCAAAACAAGAGCAAATATTTGACAAGCACTGTGCTGCGGCACGAGATATCCGTGCAATCTGCGAACCGCTTTCCATCGATCCGCTGGTGAGGACTATCGTCCAATACGGAAGGCACGTTGTCTTGACTTCTGCGGTGTCGTCTGAAGGTAAGTTAGCCTCCCGCTTCGAAGAACAATGACTCACCGGCCTATGTAAACACACAGCCATCTGTCAAGTGTCCCAGTCCGCAATCCACCCGTCCCTAATATGCCACTCATCGAGTCTATGTTGCCCATCGAGCTGTGGGCAATGATCTTCTCATATATTGGGTATAAACAGTACAAAAGAAGGCTGATCCAATTCTCGACCTGCTGCAGACAGTTTCGTCAGCTCTGCCTTCCCGATATATTTATGGATTTCGAGGTCCTAATCGACTATGAGTATTCGCGCGGTTCGCCAAGGAACAACCCCTGGCGTGTACACACCTATCGCCAGCTCTTCGACTTCCTGTCGGCAAACCCGCATCTCAGGCACCTCGTGCGACGTCTGCGCCTGTGGGTGCAGATGGAGAACGACGACACCTGGCAGAAGCAGCAACCGTTCTGGGACCCAGGCCTCTTCTTGACCATCCTGCACTCCCTCCCAAACCTCGAGCACCTCCACCTCCAGAATGTGCTCCTTGGAGACGCCGCCGACGTGCAGCTCGCGCTGCAGCGTCACCGACCCGTGGACCTCAGAAGCCTGCACGTCGTGCTGCCCCTGCCGATCGGTCACCACGACATTCCGGTGCGCTTCTTTGCCGGGCTTATGCGCCTCTTCTCGTGCGTCGAGGAGCTCGATTTTGTCGACCTGACAGCATTCAAGGTCCAGCAGACGGACATAGAGGACGCTACGCACGTACCCTGGCTGGACCATATCGCCGGTCGTTCGCTTGCAATCGCTGGAGAAGCCTCGGGAGTGTGTCTGTTGAAAAACCTGCATGTCTGGCCCTCGCTGCTTCTTTTGACGTCGTTCGAGGTGCAAGACGGCTGGCGGTCTTGTGAGTCCGAGGCGCTGGGGCCGTTACTCGAGCTTGTCGGTCCGAACCTCGAGCACCTCGGGCTGGGAATGCACCTCTTGCCAGGCGGATGTAGGTACATGCTGCTCTATCTGCCGGAATTGCAATGCTGACAGCCAAAACGCAGTCAGAGGCGCAGTTCGTGACTGGCACCGCTACGTGTTTTCGCGCTGCAAGAAGCTGCGTTCGCTGGCATTCTTCCTCAAGATATACCCACGGCGCTGCCTCGAGCCGGACTCTTTCGGCTATGAGGAATTTTTGCGGGAGGGAAACTCGTGGGGTCCGGCCAAACGGGTCCTAGAGTACATGCTCCTGAGCGCAGGACTGCCGGCGAAGGACGATGGGCAAAGGACCGATGAAGGTGACGGTAGAGCGGACGCCGAGGGCGATGGTGAGAGCAGCGGAGGATACAACCTCTATTGTGGGCCCTACGACTTCACCCCAGGCGCGCTCCGCACTATCGCATTGAAGCTAGCCGGGCATTGCGATATCTTCGCCTGCCCGTGTAAGCTCGGGACTATCCGCGAGGACTGGGCAATGCAGACGAGGATGTTTCGGTGGGTCGACGGTGCTCTCGCGCGCTGTCTCAACATACCAGGGTTTGAGCGCATTGAAATGGAGCTCACGCCGAACTCGAACACCGCGTGGTTCATCAAGGACTGGAAGAACGTCGCCAGGAAGCTCCTACCTCCGTTCTTCCCTAAGACGGCTGACACGGGCAGGCTGCACGTCAAGGAGTTTGCGCGTTGGCCCTATCGCGGGACGCCGGATATCGACGAAGGCACGTTGGATGACGGGGATATTGCTGAAGGTGCAAGTGTTGAGGCCGAGTTGTGACATAACCACTTTCTTCTAGGCCGCATCTTGTATGAGTAAACGTATACAGTCTAAGTATGAGCCAGGATAGTTGGAAAGGATCATGGTTTCCTATGCTGGAGAGTGGGATCAAAGCTCGCCGAGGAACCGATATAATCTGGATAGACACGGATATAGCGCAATTGCTAGTATGCAAGAGATGCGTACCAACGATGTATAATATGACAGATCGACCACAGACAGTCAAAAGCTCCTCTAAATCACTGAGTTGCCACGACCTGTTGCTTCATCTCCTCGAACTTGGTACTCTCCGCCTCAGCCTTTTTGATGTTCTTCAGGAGCTTCTCCTCCAGCTTCTGCAAGCGATGCTCCATGCCAAGTACAAGCAGCCAAACCTGCTCGATGAATGCCTCGCTTGACTGCGCATCGGGAGGTGGCGAAGCGTCGAGCGCGGTTTGCAGCTTTGAGGTTGACCAGATCGCGTGTAGACAGTTCCCGTGGAAGAGATATCAAGGCTGTCCTATAGTGAGTTATGTTTATATCAAAGAGTGTGCGGAGAACGGCCGCATACGCACTTGCCAATTTGAACCTGCCAACTTCGCGATTGACTTTCGAGAGCTTTTTTGCGCTGCTTTCGGCTGCAGATTCTCGATATGAATATGCGGTATTAGGGATAGGATATTGGGACGCACTTTTCCAGCTCTGCATACATCGCTCGTTCTCTCGCTGCGTCTTATCGAGCAGAATCTCCGGGTTCATGTATTCTTTCTTCAGTGCATCGATGGCCTCAAGCAACGGCCGCTGAGCGAGTTAGCTCTTCAGCTGCGCGATATGAGTCCTTGACTGTACAACTTGTCAGTCTTTTCTCTGCTTCTTATTTATAATCACGACAGACCAACTTTGTCGTTCTCCTTGTCCTTGTCGAGCAACTGCGCTCGAAGGCATCCTCTACACCCTATTCACCCCCCTCGACAACTCTGAGATCATCCGCACCAACCATCACCACTGGTCTGCATCGGTTGTGAACTGCTTTGGGATCGCCGCATGGTGAGGGTGTATGTCTGGTCGTTGTGCCGTCGGGCCGGGCATGTGAATGAACAAAGCGACGGATCAATGTCCCCTTATCTAATCTACGGCTCTCTTTCGCGGTAAACCCTCCGCGTCCATCGTACGTATAACGGCAAGTGACCAGGACCGCGTAGCTCTCCCTGATGTAGCCGTATATGCAGGAATGACAAGAACGTCGTGCACGTCCACGCACTGATACGGTACTTGAACTTGATTCTGCCATAGCCTAGTGGGTAAAATTTTGATTACCGTGTACAAAGACATTCAATCGACCAATTTCCACCGTTCTTCGATTCCCGCTACGTCTTACCTCTAGCTTGCTGGGAACGCGATACGGTCTTCGACCGTTGTCACCAGCCAATCCCGACCGACCTCCCCTCCCCTGCCATTCAGCTCCGCCCATCGATTCCTCCCAGACGCCTTCAGCTCGTCGAACCACTTATCCAAGGTCAGAGACTGTATGTCGTGTACCTGTAAGCAGGGTACAACACTTGGGAATGGCGAGCCTGATCGATCGTCTTCCAATATTTTTACAGCTGTCTTGACATCCGTTCCCTGCGGCAGGGCCATCATATCGTCTTCCGGTTCATTCGCTAGCACAAAGAAGAGACCTCCGGCCTTGAAGAGCGTACGGGCATGCAAGCCTGTGTCTTGATATACGAGTGGAATTGGCGTGCCGAAGTAATTGAGTGTATGCTCCATCTCGTATGCGTAACGGCCAAGGTAAGGAATGAGGTTGACCGGATGGTACACCGGAATACCGTCCATGTCATCTTCACGACCGGGAGCAAGCAGCGCAGGCCAGTCGGAACTCCAATTCGGATATTCTAAAGGTCGTTCTTCACGCCAGGATTCGAAGAGCTCTTTCAGCCTATCCGTCGATGGGTAACGCGGACCGCTATACGGGAAAGGCGCGATTGAATCGCACGGGACGGGTACTTACGACAAACGTCAGCGAACTTGGAATAGACTCCATGCCGAGGCGTGTGGCAGCTTACCCTCGAAAGCTCTGTATCGTGCTCTCCGGAAATGAACTCATTTTCTTGAAAGCTGCCCGCCAGCGTTTGTGGAGGAACGGCGCTGAAGCTATACAGGGCAAGCTCGCCAAACCCGCTGCCAACGACGAGCAGTCTGAGCGCATCATCGAAGTCGCGCGTCGGTGCCAAGTACAGCGCTGGCATGCCCGCACCCGACAACTTGACAGACGTCGCCTCGCTCGTGCTGCCATCCCTGCCGTCATCGCTGGTCGGAAGCCGTGTGGTGACAAGGTCGAAGTCTTCCGCTCGCTTACCGACTATGACGTACGACAAAGAGCGACACCCGTATCCAAAGGACGGAGTGTGTATGATTCTCATATACTCCTTGCCCTCTATCAATACCGTCGGCAAAGACCAGAGGTGGATAGAGCGATACTCGCCGTCCATTGTCTCGAGAGGGACGGTATAGACATGCATCCCGGAAGGACCGCACACAGCGACATAATAAGTGGTTGGATGAATGCTACGCTCCGTGCGTGACGAGTATTTACTCGAAAACTCGACCGCGGCGGAGGCGACTCGGAGGTTGAAACGCATGATCTCTGTGTTAATAACCGACGGTGGAGAGCCGTCCGATGGGAGCGTATACAGAGAAAGTCGGTGAGGTTCGACGACGGCAGCTAGGTTGTCGTGAAAAGCCATTGCGTCACAACCGCCCTTGAATTACCATGAGGCAAGAACCAAGATGCGCAATCCAATGGCTCACCTTTGTACTGGGCTCTCGATAAAACTGATCAACATGGTTCCGTCGCCAATCCCAGACGCACGGTACGCTCAGCTCGTTATAGAGCCCAAACCCGACCAAGTGTCCACGAAGGCTTCGGAGGACAGCTGCACCTTCTAGTCTCGCTTTCAGACAAAACGTCGGGGCTGATTGATACGTGTAGCGCAGGCACACTATTTGGATAGAGGGCACGCTAGAGATGATATCGACCACTCATGGACGGTGACAGTCTGCCAATATTGCGCCTCACCTGGATCGGAGCTCGAGGGCAAACACTGCGTTGTCGCCTTGCAGATCCAGCACGCCACGATATGTCCGTTCTCAAACAACAGGGGGATGGACCAGAGAGCAAGAGTGCTTTGATGCGCGTCTGATGAGGCCACGATGAGGAGCCGGCCTTGGATGAGCTTAACCCAGGTTACGGAGCGTGGTTGGTGAAGAGGGATAGAAATAGCTTTCGGTGTGTTCTCGCCAGACGAGCGCGGTCGATATAGACTGTTGACCAGCCGGAGGGCATGCAGGACAAGTACTTCCATCTCGGAGCCAGACATGGCGGATACCGATTTACGGTACGTGGGAAGAGTAATGTATGGTGCCGCAATATCACGGCGATGAATGTGAATCCACAACTGTGAATTTCGAGTCAGTATGTTGATCCGCTTGCAGGTCTGAGAGCAGGGAGTGAAGCGAAATCAGACTTGTAAGCAAGTGTATATGCTGAAAACAGCGTACCTGCCTCATGGCAAGCAAGTCAGGAATGGTGAGGTATGCGAGAAGTTGATGGAGGGCGCCTTCATCGAGATTAAGCATTGTTGTCATAGTAAAGAGATGGAGACTAAGACTGTGTTCTTCCTGTCTTGGACGGACTAGAGAGCAAGATGGCTTTGTGAGCATCGGTCGAGGCAACGAAGCGACGAGGAGTTGGTACCAAACAAATATGACCCAGGTCAAGGTGTATGATTGGTGAAAGGGATCGAATGGCTCCGGTGCGTGTACCAGAAAGGGGCGTAGCGGAAAGGAGCTGGGGGAGGGTGGAGGATAGTCTATGTCAGAAAGAGACCTACCGTTGAAAAATAAAGTACACCTGCCTATATTTCCCTACATGAAGCATAATGAGAGGCCCGCAAGATGGTGTAGGTGGCATACGCGCGAAAGCTTAGCTAGAGAGCGCGTGTGTGCTTATAGTACGACAGGGCATGACAGGGTCGACCCGCGAACACCTCATAAGTTTGCCCGCTTCACATAATCCGCATATAACATGCAGCTTGTAGGTACTATAGGGAGATATATAGTGCTTCAAAGCGTATGTGTGCCCTTCAAAACTACTCGAAGGCATTTTGACTCTCGAGAGTCAAAATTGTGATAATCGCGAACCGCGTTCGAGCTCGAACGCGGTTCGCGATTATCACAGGCGCCCACGTAAATGCCGCTCACGTGATGTATTGGGCGCCCCGCCGATTACCCGACAATTGCCAAACGAAGACTGTCCCGCATTCATTATCACACCATTACCCGCCACGACCGTCCGCGCCGAGACTCACGAACCATGGGAGCAGATGGAATTATCAATCCTACACTTCCTTTATACAAGCTTGAAGAATGCACCGTCATCAGGAGATTGCGGAAGGAACGTTCAACTTCGGCAAGGTCAAGAGTCAGTTAATGTCTTTGTTGAGTGTGCTCCCGCTGACAGTCCTGCAGTGGTGATACACACTGTTACCGGCCATAGGGTCGCCATGAAGTTCATTTCCAAGCAGGTGATTAACGCCACGAAGACAAGGACGAGGATGCAACGAGAGGTCAAGTATATGCAGACGCTTCGGCACGCGCATATCATCAAGCTGTAAGTTCCACTTTGTGTAATCGACCCCCAGCCTCTAGACCCTTCCCTGTCGCAGTTACGAGGTCATCCCGACACCGACAGATATCGTCATCGTCCTCGAATATGCGGATGGCGACCCCTTCAACTACATTGTCGCCAATGGTCGCATACCTGAACCCCGAGCACGGTGGGTCTTCCAGCAGCTGATATCCGGCATCGAGTACAGTCACCGGCTGAATATTGTGCGCCGAGACCTCAAGCAGGAGAATGTTTCGTTCGACGATGATCTGAACGTCAAGATTTGCCGACTTTGGCCTGTCGAACGATATCAAGGACGGCGGCTTTCTGAATACGAGCTCCTACCTCTCGCCCGACGCCAAGAACCTCATTATGGGCATGCTCGCGGTCGGCCCTATGAAGCGCATCACTGTGTCTGAGATTCTTCAGCATCCGTTCTTCACCGCCGACCTTCCGCGCTACACACCCGCCACCACCAGGACCCGTCTTGGGCCCGCTACCCTCGCTAGTCCCGCCACCAAAGGCTCTCGACTACGAGCCTATTGAGTGTCTGGGCCTCATTGAAGACGTTGTCGCCCAAGGCTTCGCTTCTCGGATGGAAGCGTCGATGAGGGCGACATCTATGCCATTCTACGGCGAAACGATGACCCGCAAGGGAACGCAGTCAAGGTACAAGTGGCGTCTAGGCCGTGACCTCGCCGGACTCATGAAGTAGAAGCGCGACGCAGAGTTGGCTGTCATGGATCCCCGCACCCCGCTATCGCCGAACGCGATCTCTCCGGGCGGGCCCGCTCGACTCCGAGTTTAGCGAGTATGACGAGGACGAGGACAATGAGCTCGATTTCTTGACGTCGTAGAATGAGTCGGAGAATAACTTTGCCGTCCTCAACTCGTCGCTGCTCGGCCAGCTGCCTGACGAGCTGCCCGACGAGCACCACCTCGCGTCCTACGTTACCGCGAAGCGGACGTTCCCTCCAGCGAAGGAGAAGAGGCAGCACCGGATCAGATGACACTTCGGCAGTCGGACATCGCCGATGGAGGCCATGCTGGAGACCTACAGGACACTGTCGGCGCCTGGTATGGGGCGGAAAGAGAAGGGCGACCTTGGTGGGCTCGGCGGGATTTGTCGCGGACGTGGAACGGGCGAGGATCGAGCGGACGCAGGAATACGATGGGGAGTATGTCGAGCGGTGAGCGGCGGTACCGATATACTTCATTGAAATGCGAGCGAGGGTTCAGGATATTGTGGTACGTATCCTAATCTTCGTCGCACGTTTAATGACTGATTTCCTCCCAGGTATTGATGAACTGGCAACTGTACATGGTCGACCCAATTAACCACCCCGTCGACTTTCACCGGAAGAAGACATACGAGGCGTCGACGAAGCCCGGGCGGGAAAGTTCGACATGGCGCCCCCCGACTGCAGCCTATCCAAGACGGCGTCCGGGCGCAGTCGGTCGATCAAAGGCTTCAGCATCCGAGAAGACGAGGTAGTCTTACCGCTCGTCTTCATGGACGTTGCGTGCCGGTTGATCTTCGAGCTTGCAGGCGGCGTCGAGGGTATTAACCGAAGATAAGGATCGGCGAAGCGTCTAGTACGGACTCCTGATTATGGCACTGCTACTCTGCTATTGCCCTAGGACATACCCCCGTATGGCACCGACGCGTCCATCGCAAATACACATCGAGTGAAGTAAATGTCGTGGTGACCCATCGGCAAGGGCAGCGCAACGTGCAAGTTCCTGAGGTCCGTGGGACTGTGGCGCTGCAGCGTGAACTGCACGTCGGCGGCGTCTCCGAGGAGCACATTCTGGAGGTGGAGGTGCCCGAGGTTTGGGAGGGAGTGCAGGATGGTCAGGAAGAGGTCTGTGTCCCAAACGTTGCTGCTTCTGCCAGGTGTCGTCGTTCTCCATCTGCACTCACAGACGCAAGCACCGCACGAGGTAGTCTCGGTTCCAGACTCTCGACTCGCTATTAGAGAAATATAATGAGGGCTTTCGGAGTTTGAAATCCCCTGCAGCGGGATTTTCAAAGTCCGCTAATCAACCATTACAAATGGCTTGTTACCGCTAGCGCTGCACCCTGCTGCCTCCCGCTTGCTCAGCATCCTGGAACCGAGACTACGCACGAGGTGCCTGAGATGTGGTTCGTTGACAGGAATTCGAAATACTGTCAACAGAGGGGCTGTGTAAATGCTTGTTTGCTCCACCACCAATCAGGCGCATGATCGTCTGCTTTGATAGATGGTATACCCCAGCAGGCCCAGAGTACACTTAGTTCTGAGTGAGTACCATTTCTACGGAACATCTTTTCAGATCATGCTACCTGCCCAAATGATACATTTGTGTACAAGATCTTAAACATAAGGATATGATAATGTCAAACATATTATAAAAATGCCGGTGACGCAGGGGAACCTAAACAAAAGCAGGGCACCTGAACACACCAATGGGAGTAGTAATAATACACGAAGAAGAACTGATGTGATTGTCAGTTGACGTTGACGAGCTGACTTTGCATGATCATGTCGATTAGCTGGATTTCTCCGAGCTGCATAGTAATAGTCGCATCGTCCTCGAACACGATGTTGTACGATGTATTGACTGCCGTAAGCTTGTATTCTGTGACCTTCCATGCTCGCTCGGAACCTGATGCGCATAAGATAAAGCGCTTTGCAAGCAGCAGATGAGTGTTTCCAAGGAGGCCAATTGCCTAAGGTCGATCGACAAGGCCCGATGTTGGCTGGACTTCATGAAGAATCTGACTCCTGTGGCATGTCAGGCCAGCCAGCGCATAAACCACATATAAATACTTACAGCTTGCCCATCTCGGTGTCGTACATGTTGAAAAGCTCTTCATCATGTCTGAGCGCCGGCGTGACCTTGTGTGAATAGAAAAATATGCCAGCGGCAAAGGCATACTGGAGGCGATGCAAGAAGCTACACAACCCTCGACCGTTAGAAGATGGCTAGGTGAGTTTTGTGATTACGCACTCGTCATAGCTTTTGGCCTCAATTGCCAGCACCCTGTCATACTGCTCTAATATCCCATCAACTTCGTCATCTCTAACAGTACGCGTGGGACCAAATAGGGGTGCAACGCCAGGAGTCCCGGGACCTGCGACCGAATCGACCGCAGCACGAGCTTGGTCTCGCCTGATGGGGTCCGAGCAGATTACATCTGCTGCAATCTGGTAGTGTGATATGTAGTAATAGTGTTTGTGTGCGAGCTGTATTGGGTCGAGCATTTGTGCAGCGTGTGTTGGTGTTGAGGTTGCGATACAGTACTGGTTGGGGTGCAGCGCCTGCCCTCTGAGTTTAATTTTAAAGTCAGTAGTTGTTCCGCGGATGTCAGCCTGCGGAAACAAAACTACTCGCCTCTTCACATCGTTTCCCCGAAACCCGGATCTCTACCGCTGCAGTGGCTCACTCATGGACTTATAGGCCACGGACTAGCACACGACGTCTATACTCGTCCAACAGAAGACCTTTTGCCGAACGGTTGGAGAGCACGCCGAAGTGCAATCAACTCTCCGCAGGCAGAGGAGTGCCGTGTTTGCGACGCAGAGCTCGATCCGGACAATGAGCGCCGCAGCGGATGCGTCGGAACCGTACGGGTAGTCTCCCAGAGGCAGACGCTTACGGAAATGTGTCATCTCTGTATCAAACGATTCGCCAACTTCAGTATCAGCCCTTCAGAGTCGGAGGGAATGGGAAACATACAATTGATGAGCTTACATCTCTGCGATATAAACACAAATATATCCGAAAAGTAAGCAGTCGCTAGTGGTACAGACGCGAAGACGAAGGTAGCAAAAGTGGTGATGGTTAAGTCAACAACTCCAAACGAAGACAACATCGACAAACGTAGCGCATGGAAGCGTGGACCTTACTCGGTGGCGCCCGCGAGCTTGCTGAAGTCCTTAATCGACCGATTGCACTCGGACACCGTCTTGGACAGAATGTATTTGGGGTGAACTATGTCGAACTTGCCCATCCGGGGCTCCGTCGACGCCTTGTATGTCTTCTTGCGAGGTAGCTGATCGAGTCGGCCATGTACAATTGCAAGCTCATCAATATCTAGGGGAAATCAGCTATTTCTCATGCGACGAAGCTCAGAGCACGCACCACAACATCCTGGACCCTCACCCGCGTCTCGATGAAGCATATTGCCGCCGCCCATCGCTCGCAGGTTCCCATCGTATTCCCGCGCCCGCTCGATCTTCGCCCGTTCAGACCCGCGTCCGCGATGAACTCCGCCGAGTTCACCAAGTTTGCCCTTCTCCTTCCGCTCCATGCCAAGCGCCTTCAGCGTCCTGTAGATATCCGGCACGGCCTCCATCGGTGGCGACCGATTGCGTATGCCAAAGTGTCGCTTAGTCTGGTGCTGCGCCTTCTCCTTCACCGGCGGGAACGTCCGTTAGGCGGTGATGTAGGACGCGAGGTGGTGTTGCTCGGGCAGCTGGTCGGGCAGCGACAAACTGAGGACGACGAAGTTGTTCTCCGACTCGTTCTGCGGCGTCGAGAAGTCGAGCCTGTCGTCCTCGCCCTTGTTGCACTCGTTGAGCTCGGAGTCGAACGGGTTCTCCTCGAGCTCGATCCCACCGCCTGAGGAGATCGTGTCCGGTGACAGTGGGTTGCGGGGGTCCATGGCTGCCAGCTCTGCGTCGCGCTCTTGATCCATGAACTCGGAGAGGTAGCGACCCAGCAGCTTGTCGCGCAGGAGCATATATGCACCTTTACTGCGCTTTCTTGTAGGTCATCATCTCGCCGTAGGCTGTTGTAGATGTCGTTCTTATCGACATCTTCCATCCGCAAAGCGAGATTTTTGGCGATGACGTCCTTAACGCGGCTCAGACCCTTGATAGTCTCAGATGTAGTGGTACTTGCGCAGAACCAGGAATGGCATGGCAGGTAGTGTCGGCGGCGTGCGACGCGTGCTCGTAGGCTCCAGGGAAACGCGAGGTGGGAGACGCGACGCGGTTCAATATGGCCGCTACGGACTGTTTGCTGTGCTTCGAGTACCATCGAAGGATTGCCGATGCTTTGTGATGCACTAGGCGACGGAGTGATAATGAGCGAACTGGGTGATATGATACTGGGCAAGGCTGACGTACGTATGGTTGCGATGCTAAAATACGACACGGGCACAGAAAAATCGTGACGATATTCGGGGCATGGTAGAAGCGGCAGGTTTATAGTCTGTACTTCAACTTAGTCAGATCTGTTGATAGACACTGTCAGTCAGTCGACATTACACCGACTCACCCAAGGTTATAACTCACGAACGCATCCCCAAAATCATATCTCTGTGTCTCAATGTCACCCTGGCTTCTGATATCTTGCCGTGAGACGTGCGACACTCTTGCTTTTGCCATCGTCCAGGGTTATGCTGCCCAATGCTGGAGCCCACCGACAGGACAACGTCTACATCGCGAGTGTGGCTGTCTCCTCGAGGACCGACATTGCAGACAATGCAAGGGAGCTCCACGTGGCGTTCGAAGGTTTGGCATGCCCCCGTAGCAAGCCACCTAACGGTGGTGCTATCTCAGCAGTTGGGCTTGTCGCCGCGGTAAATCGCTGCGCGCGAGGGAAAGTTCGCTATGTAGGTCTTCACTATGTCGTTCGGGACTCGATCCCAGACGTCAGCGACACCACAACCTGAGCTGGACTGTGTGTTTGGCTCGTTCTGTACACTACACGAGGTCATCGAACGGTGGCAGCTGTCGGGTTCAAACGGGCACACGGTCCTGCCGATGTGAGTAAGTATCTGAGATCCAATACGGACATGAACAACAGCCGTGTGCTTACCTCGGCAGTGCACTCATGTCATCCACGAGAGCATGGGTAAACTTGAAGTTACGAGAGTTCGAATTCAGATTTGCAGGGCCTGCGTCGTGCGCGCGTTAATTGAGGTTATGTAAGCTTGATTACGATAAATGCGATATTGTTATCTTATCTTATTTCGCTTTATCTAATCTATGCCCTTTTGGTTTATCTAATCTGCTCCCCTCCTTAGACGTATCAATTCGCTTTCTTATTCGATAGCACGAATGAGTCAAACGTAGCAAAACATTCGTTGCGCTTATCCTATCGAGTTCATCCCTGACGCGAAGGCCCTGCTCACCTGTAATGACTTTGGTGTGCTATCGCCTATCGCCAATTGCTCCCAGCCGAGCAAAAACAGTACTGCACTTCCTGGCCGGTTACACTTCGAAAAAGCCCGAAACCGAGAGCGGCGTGCTGGAGCTGATCCCGACTTTCTCGACGTGCTACTCCGCACCGTTCATTGTGCTGCACCCCGATCGCGGGACGAATGTCGAAACACAAACGTTCACGTTCAGGCGTGCTCGATTCTAAAGCGATTCAACGTTCAACTGAACGGGCGGCAAGAGGCGGCAAGTTCGGGACAGGCGCGCTGTCCGCTCACGTGCATTCTGTCTTTTAGAATGACGTCACGCGTTTCAAACAACGCTTTGCATCGGTGAACTTGACCAGGCAGGTGCGCCGGACAAGGTAAGGACCAGGCAGGGAAGTACACTGTGACGTCTCGAGGCCAACTTTTGAGAAAAGGATTTGACTTATTCCTTGCCACGAAGCGTGACTTCAAGCAACGCGACGGCAAGGTTGTTCGAAAGAACGGTTGCCGGCATACTGGCAAGCGATGCAATTAATTCAGACTTCAGACTGAATAACAAAGCGCAGGCAAGGAAGGGTACAGTTACGGTGCGAGGACATGAGATACAAAGAAAATCTGCGTTGGTAGCAAAAGTAGCTCTTAGCAAGATATAGGCACGGCAGCCTGTGCACGCAGAACTGCGTATGGGCCAGAAGCCGCTTGCTGAGATGGAGGCCGGACTGCTAGAGATCAAGTCAGACGACGAGCGTCGCAGCAGCTACTCACAGACATACCCCCAAACATCACTTAACCGGGTCCAAGTGCCATTCAGGATCCTTGCCATCTGCAAACATGTGCGCCACGTTTTACCGGGAAGTGTCGTCCAAAATATCTTCAATTGCAGAGCCAATAGAATAAACGATGTCCGTCCAAAAAAAAAACCTCGTATTCTGCGGGGCCGCTGGGGGACGGGCGCCTCGGCGACATCGAGCAGGTGCGTGTCCTTGTCTGGGATCTGGCACGCCTTCTAGACTGCTGGAAGTAAGTTGCCCAGAACGACAATGCTGTCATGAGGATGTGCAGCTTTTCGCGTCGGTGCGTCGGGAAACTCTCGTACGGCGGTCTCCATGATATCTTCAGCGGCACCCAAGCGTCGATCACGAAGGATGTGCGCAGGCCTGATTTGCTCGGCTATAGAGAAGCTGAAAGCCAGTCGAACAGGGGCGGCTGTCGACAAGAAACACACGTAGAGTTCTGGAGACATGTGAGCAACATGAAGTAGTGATCGTGAACTTACATCTGGATGTAACGACAGCCCTCGAGAGGCGAGAAGAACCGAGAGAAATCGGAAAGACGGTTTGCTAGCGAAGGCGGGGTCATGCGAGACGTTTGACGTTTGACGAAGGCGGGGTCATGAGAGACGGTTTGCTGGCGAAGGCGGGGTCATGGGAGATGTCGAGGTGAAGGTTGTCTCGGGCCGGGAGCGATGGCCATTGGTTGTTATAGGTCAGCGAGCCGTGCGCGGCAGAGAAAAGGTGCATCTAAACAGCACGTGATGCGCGACGCGTCCAGGATTCCGCGGAGATAAGTAATATTCACGCGCCATGAGCCGCAGGACCAACAGCAGCCTTGTGGCGCCTCGGACCCGAGTGCAGGGCCCCACAGCCTCTTTAACATGCTTGAACATTTCCGCGCGCCGTTGGTCCCTGTTGGTCCCCGTCCCGCACACACACAAGGGGCGTTGCAGCTAGCCGTCGTTTACCAGAGCAAGACCCCGCCCGCGGAACACCCTTCGCGCGCGGCCTGAGCGGCGGTGCCTGTTTCGAGGAAGGGCCAACCGGGCTCTGGAGCAACCCGGCCGGCATGACAGTGGGAGAGCATGACGGCGAGAATGCGTCACGCAGCCACGATGGTGGGAGGGCATGACGAAGAGAACGCGTCACGAAGCTGCAGCGATGCGTCCGAGGGCCAAGGTTCAAACCCTAAACAAGTCCCCGTGTGTGCTGTAGGTCCCCGCGTACGTTACGTTGCCCGATTAAGATCGGGCAGAGGCTGAGAGAGGATCACGTATGCACGCCCTGTGCGCAACGCGGCTGTTGTCGCCGCAACTTGGAGAGTCACACAGCGTGATATTAGAATTACAGCTACTGGTACAATGCGGGAAAGCTATAGCAGATGAGGATCGTGTGTCAGGGAGGTACGAGGCAGTCTAAAGTACTGAAACATAGGTAGCGATAGGAGAGAGAAAGATGTCCGTGTGTGTGAGCATGTGCGGGTTTGAAACGTGCAGAGGGTATGGCCTAAGAACACTATCCACCAGTATATATAAGTACAGCAAATATGTCAATCAGAGGTATCGATGTTGGGAAGGTATATTGCGGCGGCAAACGGCCTATTCGGCGTTGGGCGCGCGGCTGGCGATGAAGGGGCCCTCGAGGGGCAGCAGTTGCGGGCGACTCCACGCGCGCCAGCTTCCGATGAAGTTCTGGTTCGCGATGACGTACCCGCGGAAGATGGTGGTGCCGAGGTCGTGATTGTGCGATGGGACGCGGACGAGCGCGACGAGGCCGTCCCAAGGGCGGACGCGGCCGTAAAACGTGAAGTGGTGCCAAGCCTCGCTATGGTTGGGCAGCGTCTGCGCATTCAGGGTCAGTAGTGAGCACACAAGCTAGGAAAACAGACGCACCTCGCCGGTCAAAATGATGTCGCGCGCCCCGCCGCACTCCCCCTCGTCGCCAACATGATGGCTCTCGGACCCGTACATGGCCCTCGCCTCGTCCTCGGCGGCGTTCAGAACATCTTCCAGGTCGTCTGGGCCAAGCGCTGTCTGTACGACCTCGAGCGCCGACGCGACGTCGTGTGCGTAGTCTGTCGGCGCAAAGTCGTAAGTGGCTATGTACTCTGTCGCCCGGATACGCTCTGCCCCACTCGCCCTCTCATACTGTCCCTGCGCGCGACAAGAGGCGCATATACTCTCATCGTGAGAACTGGACTTGCCCTCACGATATGTTTCGTACTTGTACACGCGGCCGTCACGCGCGGTGGTGACTTCGAGAGCATTGTTGCGCTCGACGCGAACAGTACCGGCCGGGAACCACGCGTTTGTGATGCCGTCGTCGGGATATCGGTCTTGCTGCGTCTGCGCGGCACAGGGCACAGGCGAGTGCGGGCTGACAAAATGATGTTCGCGCAGGCAGAACGAGATGGGGAGCGTCGCCATCATGGGCTTGCCCGGCGCGTAGTCGGTGCTTCGCACCATGGCCAGGTATTGGCTCCGATCAGGCGTCTGGAAAAGAAGCGTCAGCTAGAAACGTCAGGCTGAGACAGGCCGTGGGGGGACGAACCAACATGCGGCCGAGCCAATTTCCAGCTAGGGACCCGTACGTGTAGACTGCACGCCTGGGGGAACGACCGACGTAGGGATTTAGACAGTGGCGCATCCGGTTCCAGTCGTCCTCCCAGGCCATGCTCGGTGCCGGCTGGCCTTCAGGCAGGTGCCAGCTGCCCTTGGGTACGACGCAGGCACCTTTATGGGCGTTGAATTTTTGGAAGTCTTCCTGAGTTGGGCCAACGCCGTGGATACCCCGGGCATGTGCGGCCGCGCGGTCCGCGGGGAACTCTGTCGGGATGCGATACGTGACGGCCTCTGACCGAGCGAAGTAAAGCAGACCGGCATAGATGGCGATCAGCGGCGGGCGCATCCTGAGAGAGATGCCGTAATGGACATGTTCAGCAAGCTCTTCGTGCCTGGGATGTCGTGGGTAAGGACCGTGCGGGGTACGTAGAATCGCTGGGGGATCGGCGAGGGAGCCGACGAGTGGAGGAAGGTGGAAGAAATAGTCGGGGGCATGGAACGGACTAAATCTGAACGGCGCAATGACGTACGGCCGGGTGATTTCCATGAGCTGCCGGCGGGCCTCGGAAGACTCCGTTCGGAGGATTTCTGAATGGTATCAAAAACGTGAAGATAGAAGAACAGCGACTGTCAGTGACACGGCAATCAGGGATGAGAGATACTCTGGAACTTGCCGTCGTCTGTAGTGTACCACATCAAATAAAGTGCGAGAGAATTGACGGCACTGTCAACTGCCCAGCCGTGGTGTTCATCGTGACCATCCCAGAGCCTTTCTCGAACGAAACGATCGACGAAGTCTCCAAGGCCAGCCCATTGGAGCTGGGCATAGTTCTTGCCGTCGTTCTCGATGAGGAGGAAGAACGAGGACCAAAATGTCTTCTTGATCACGTCCGTTGATGCAGAGATGTTGCCCGAGCGGATACACCTCAGTGCTGTGCAGTAGTCGTAGAGCTGGGAGCAGAGGTTTCTGCTGTACATTGCTGTGTCGCCGAAACGGCGAGCAGCAGACCCTGAGTCAAACTTGTGACGGAAAATGCGCCCGTAGAGGTAGCTGTTGTATGTGTATGTTGACGATAGGAGGCAGTGGACATGATGACAGGTCTGAAGGAGGGCGACCAAGTCGTCCAGGAGGCCGAGGGGCTCAGCGATGGCGACCTCGAAGGCGATGTTCTGCAAGATGTCGAGAGGAAGTTGGCAAAAGGTCGACGACTGTGCTGGCATGGCCACCAGATAGGACGCCAGGGGTCATGAAAGGCCCGGAGAAGGATGCTGTAAGATGGCATATATACGATGCAGTGTCCGGTGACTTATCGAGGAGATGCGGAAGCGGGGTCTCTGTTGAGGGCGGAGAGAGAGTAGATTCGGGGAGAGGACATTCGGGTCCAAACTGCGGGGTGTTGAGTAGCTTCTTTCGGTCTGCGGGATTTCGCACCAAACAGTCAAGATCTGATGCGGGAATTTGCGACAGAAAGACCCACCTTGGGACCGACTCTGGTACGAAAGTGGACGCTGACTCGCGTCTGCGTCCGCCATCTCGAGTTCGTCGAACGGGGCATGGCAAGCGACATGAAGAACGGAGACAAGATGCAGGGTCACCTTGAAGGCGCCGAAATCTCGCCATAATCAAGTTCCTGCCTGTTATGGCCCCTAATCACCGTTTTTCGTTCCGGACTGCCCACTCCTCTCACGTTCAGTTCGCTTCATGCACCATCTACACCGCGGCCTCTTGGATATTCTACGCAGAGCGTTCCATCCCCCGCTGCCACCAGTGTCATGCACGGTGGCCAATGTCGTCCTTCGCGGGAGAATGCTGAATCCAGACACTAGCCACGCATCTGCCGCCGTCATTCGCCAGGTTAGCTCGCTCTAAAGTTAGGATCGTCATGCCGTACGCCCACAGTCACTCGACCTGCGTGCATCGCGCTGACCTCTTTTCTGAATCGATTCATTTGAATGCAAAGATTTGGTCCTGCCAAACTGCTGACTGCTCGTGAAGAGATCGCTCGCATGGCCGGAGCCAGATTGTCAATTCCGTGCTGACGACCATGCACTCCTTCCGGCGATGACTTCGCCTTTGTATGTCCAACTTCCGCTCCCTGACGCACGAACGCGGCACATGTCCGTCTCAGTCAAGCAACTCGTTCCCGAGGCCCTGTTACCCGGCTGTCGATCCGTCTTGTCCATTGCGATTCCGTCAATCGCCGGCCTATGCGCCACAATAGCCAATTTGCCACTTTCGGGAGGGCTGGGTGCAGTTGCAGGTCGCGGTGGTGCCGTAACGGGTCAAAGTCCGCTGGTATCATCTGTTCACCATTCAGAGTAGCGTTCACGAAGCCAGCAGTTTAGCCCTCCCGTCAATGCGGCGTTCTCCCGAACCCCGTTGCCCTTGGTGACGACGCAGAGAGATGCTGTACCAGAGACAACCTCGGTGTGCGACACATCGCGTTCAGCCTTGATCCACCAAAGTTCGTTCCTGCGTCCCGAGTCCACCGAGAGTTTGCACAGCTCTCCGCCTGCGTCTCGGGCTGCTGCAGTGCCATTCTGATATCATCGAACGTCGCTAGCGAAGACCCCGTTCGCTAGGCCGGCCATGCTGCGCACAACGTGTTCCGCCGATACAGGGGGGCGTTTTGTCAGCAGATGGACACACTGACAATCGCTGGTGCGTCCAGAACATCACAACACGCTGCTCTTCTCAACGGCGTTTTGGCACTCGGACGGGGATCAGGATGCCCATATGCAGCGGTGCGTGCTGCCTGCAGGAGCCAGATATCCCATCAACTCCGACGATGAGCCTCCCACGGCGTGATGGGATGCTGTCCGATAACATGGACCTGCCTTTTCTGCTGACCTGTAATGCGGGCGCTAGCGTTCTCTCCGGCGCGAATACGTTCACCGGAGAGACCGAAGGCTACCCGAAGGCTGGGTGCCGCCCGACTTCATAGGCAAAGGCTGCACTACCTGACCGCTATCTCCTCAAGCTCAAGACTGCCCCATTTCCTTCGCAGTCTGCGTTGCCGACGCCGCATGGCATGCCATCATCTCGGCCCCCAAGCTTTTGCTATGGTTCTTGTCCCCGTGCTGCCGTCCGAGCTGCCGAGACCAATGTTCTCATGTCTCTGGTTTCCGGAATACAAGTGTTACGTTGTGGCTCGTGCTTGGCGCAGCTGCCGTAACGTCAGTATCACCGTCTCCAGCTGCCTCATTGTCTCCCCCGGCTGCTGATCGTCCGCAAAGAGCACGCACGCTGCGTTCCTCCGTCGGTCGACTGTTTTGATCCAGATGGCCGCATTTCGTTCCTGGAATCGCAGAAGCGGCTAAATGGGCGCTCGTTTTCGGCCTGTCCGCTTTCGCCATGACATCAGCACCAGCACGGCATCTCTCCTCCTTCGGCCTAGTTTCATCCCAGCACGTCTTCAGCAAAAGCTGTGCAAGGCTCTATGCTTGTGCAGAGCTTCTTTTCGGCGGCTATTGTCTCATCCGCCGTCATGCTTTCGAGGTCTGTCTGTCTGTCTCTCTCTCTCTATTCGTCTGTCCATCACGCGGAGCTCGTCGAGGTCAGAAGACTGGTGGTGTAGTCAGATGCAGTATACCCGGTCTGGGAATTTGTAGAGGTAAGACATCACCGACACCAAGATCGTTGAAATTGCGTCCTGTTGCCGTCACATTTCGATAATCTCCGGGATCGAGCGTTCTGCGAACCGGTACGACTGGTATTGTTGTCAGCGAACATCTGGTCTTGGTTCCGTCTTCCCTTTGTCCATCTAGGGTATTTGAATTGCTTCTCCCGGTCCAACAGCGCCCGTTTTTCTACAGGTGAAAGTGTTCCCTTGCCGCCGTGCGTATTTCCCACAGTCATTGTAATAGAGTCGTATTAATGACACGAGTTTGACACGGCGCGTGAGCGGGGGCGACGACCCTCTTAGCTTCGACGGCGACTTGCGATTGCGACCTGGCGTACGCGCTATTGCCACATCATGCGTGCCGTGAGGTGGTGGGGGTGGTCGCGCAACGTGCCTAGTTTAGTTTGAACTCAAACAGCGCACGGAACAGCGCTGCGCCTCTTTGCGCCAGCCCAGCGCCGCACACTGGCGGCTCGTCAGGATGGCGCGATACTCTTATTACGTGGTATCAAAACCCGCCAAAGATGGGCTGCGAGACCTAAGCTTGCCCGGGGCACCCAATTTTTATGATCGGGTGTTCTCGCGCTGTTAGCGTTCTGTCACCCAGACTCCGTTTTGACATGCCTGGTGTTGAGGAGTCCGTGCATGGTGCACACCGTATTGGAACCGCGGCGCGCGGCACTCTCGGCCGCTGAGCACAGGCATATTTGCTTCTGCAGCTGCAGACGTATGTGGCGTCATCGTGTTCCCGCTGGGCGCTGGCGCCGTATGTCAAGGAGCAGCAGGTCGCGGGCTGTTCCAGGGCCAGGGCGCTCAGGAGGCGTGGGACTCGGACGCCTGTACACGCGCGGGTGCCCTGCGACTGCAACTACCGGATATTTGTCCGTCTGGGCGTCACCGCAGCCATCAAGATCCGCGCGTACCACATATCTTCCGCAGGGGTGCAAGTCCTCATTCTATCCTTGCCCATGGTCATATCAACACCCAATATCCAATCTTGACCCACAGTGCATCGCGATGTCAGATTGAGTAAAGGGTGTTCGTTGAGCTCACTGAGCGTGTTGGTGTTGTGGGCCAATTGCTCCTGTGTGCCGCTCCTCGGACGAACGTTGCCGTCAGAGGCGGGTCATGATGCTTCAAAGCCGGGATTACAGTGGTGAGTTGTTGCACTCGTGAATCTCGGCGTTGCTGAGCCGAATACGCGCGATTCTCTTCGCTTATGGCATATATTACATGGAAATCAGGCCAGTGCCTCTGCCTCGTTTTTCGCTCATTAATTGTGATTTTCCAAACTCACATACCTGTCGCTAGCGTGTACGCACATTGAGTCGATAAGATGTAAATAATGAACGCTGGTTCTAGTTCGCGAGTGTCGGGCGAGCGTCGGTTGCTGGAAGTAGGGCGTACGACATCCCGAATCCGTTATTAACGCTTCCAGCGTGCAGCGTGTTTGCTGTGCTGAATCTGTCCAGTAGCATCTAAACCCCTCTAATCACGCAGAAGCCTTCGCGGTACAGCTATAACGCGTGAGTTGGCACAGTCCGGTATCTTTCTGTGCCCTGGGAATGTCGAGCTGGTTCGAACGTAAGTAGGCTTCCCTGTCACAGCATATATCACTAATCATTGACGGTTCCTCGCCTCAGGGAGACGTGCGGCGGTGTCTTCTCACCTCAGAGATAGAAGCGTGAGTGCATCCATCCCGGTATGCATCCCCGGAAGTCCCCTGTTTCGCCGCGACACAACTGCCCGTCTGAGTCATATGTCGCGCTCTGCGGCGAAAGTTGTACGCAACGAGGCTGACCTTCCAGCAGTGCCACTGTCAACGCTCGGCAGAATGTACGCAGAAGAGTCCGAGATTCGCAGGCCCCAAAGACAAGGCAGTGCCGCAATTGTTATTCGTGGCTTCTAGACGAGCTCGTGCTGCTTCCTAGGAGCGTAAAGCGTCCTGGCAGCCCCGTGGGTTGCAACGACGGAGCTCTGAGTGGCGCGCCGATGCCACGGACACGAGATAGGTGTCTGTAGTGTAGGCCGACAGCGCACGGAGTACTAGTTATTGACTTAGCGACGTCATTTATGACGTGAGTGGCCGAACAGACACATCTGGATGACAGAAAACTCGCACTATGCGCATGCACGTTCAATAGACGGCTTAGACCCGGTGTGTCCCGAATCATACTTACATTTAAACGTGCTATGTCGCCAGTCGCTAGGTAATAGATCGTTAATGTCGCCCATCCGCGTAGCTTTCGCTGCGGAATAATATGCAGATGCTCCGCGATGTATATTTCATTTCGCGCTTGAGCCGCGGGCTGCGATCAGCTGTTGAAATGGCGGCGCGACGGCGCGGTCACGAACCCCGTTCGCGTACCATCAACGCCACAAAATGCTAGGCGTTTAGAGACGGCCGAGTCATTGTCCTGGAAGAGGAGACGTGAGCCGCCGCCGACCGGAAAGACTACGATGAGAGGAGAGGTCTGGTAGACTGGCGATGGGAGTAACTTACCCCGGCGGCGTGCGTACTGCTCTGTACATTCCATCTCTCATGCCAGTGATACATTTGGTTGTAAGGCTACGCTTCTTCGCGTCCCGAGTTGTCAGTAACTCACTAAGGGTCTCAATGTTTAGTAAGATTCAAGCGCACCCTACGCACCGCCATGCTGGGTGACGAGACCGATCTCAATAATTGGCAGATGCGATGACCGCGGCCAAAATGAAATCGTTTTATAAGGGCGTGTGCTCGCCAATACGTAACCTCCGGAAAGTCGCTGCAAAGCCGCCTGGAAGGATATTTTTATTTCTTTGGCGCCTCTTTGAGCAATTTTGGCGTTATGAGAGAGCGAGAACACTCTCTTTCGCAAGGCATTTTGTCATGCCAAGGTGTACAGACGCCTGTTGTAAACGCCAGCTTACTTTTGAACCTGCTGCTGACTGGTGTGTTGCTCCGTGATAGTCGACGCTCTCGGCTGTCAGCGTAATAAAATAGCCTATAGCAAAAAGAGCGCGACAGATCAAGGTCGTGATCTACACCGTTCCGTGTCGATGAGTACGTGAACGGTTAGTATGGTCAGCGCAGGCCAGCGCTGACAAAAATAACTAATTGTGGTGCAACCTCCGCGAGATCTTTCTCGAGCACTGGTTCAGGACGTAAGGTTTGCAGTGGTAAATCAGTATCGTACCGACTTCCTATCGACTGTTCCCGCGCTTACACTGCCATGCCGAGTCATGTGGTAGCATTAATGCAAGGATGACTCCAACTCTCCCATGATCAGAACGGTCGAGAATGGCAGCGACTGATGGCGCGTCTTAGAAGGTGCTGTGGAGATTGATAGCTAGCAGTGATGTTACAGTCCGGGCGAGTACACACATTGAATGGCTGGGTGCGTTTGGAACATTCTTCTCCTCTGGCTCTCCAACTTTGCCATTCAGAAATCAATTGAAGAAGCAGGCAGCACAAGATTCCTGCGATTCATGAGATACGGAAGATGCAGACGGTGAACTGAAGACGCACCGGACTGGGTTGTCTCCCAGGCTATTCTGTCTGCTATTCATGTCCCTACACAGCTCGAAGTGCCCCGTCGTTCATAGTCGACTAACGTAAGTCGTCAGTTCCGGTTAGAGACGCTGACATTTCGTATGCGGGGCCAATCCTGCATGCCCTATGCCACGTACAGCTCAGTGGCTTCTGGGATAAACCTGGAAGCTTGAAAACTTGCACGGATCGAAGCCACCGCCGAGACTCACCAGGCATCTATTCGTTCGGTCGGGGTGGCGTCCCGTCGGCGTAACGGCATCGCAAGCGTTCGGCCAACGCAAAAAGGCTATAGTGCACCCACGCTCAGCGATATTACTATGAAACTTAGGCTTGGCGAACATGAGCACCCAATGTTGGCCCATTGCGCTGAGCCGTCCACCTCCTGCGCCTAGAGATACCCTCGCAGCTCCGCACCTCAAGGAACGGCAGAGGATGTCCCTGAAACGGTACCTGCCTAACGAGGTGAAGGGCGCCACTGTCACCGTCGCGAGGTCTAGACGGAGTCGCCAGCGATCAGGTCGCAAATAGCGTATGGCGCACGTCCCGTACATTTTTGCGGTGACATCGCCCAGGGCTGAGCGCTGGGCCCTGAGGAGACCAGTGGCGTGGCACAGGGTCGTCCCAACTTTGCCTATCTGCAGATCTTGCTCGCGAGCGAGGCGATCGGTTCGCTGTGCTCTCAGCTCGGATGCTGCTCGCTTTGTGCATATTGCCTCTGCCGTAAGATGTACTCGCCGATGCCTCCCGCAGTCCGCAGGGACCACGCACACTCCATCTGGCTGCCAAGCTGTGGGAGAAGCGGTGGCGTCAGCTGTGCATGTAGATTGTCGATCCGAGATCGCCCATTGGTTGCGATTGCGCCCGGTACAACTTGGAGCCCCTGAATTTCCTGGTTAATGAAGGGGTACTCACGAGCGATCGAGCACTGATTAGCCTTGCGCACCTGGATGGCGCAATATCCGAGGTTTGAGATTGCACCTGCCTTTTTTTGTCGCCGTGCGGGAACGACATGCTAGAGTTGCCAAGCTATAGCCGCAACTGTGAGGAGACGCGCAGGTAGAAAACACATGCTGTCCTGCCTTCTGCGCCGCTTCGCGCGTCCAAGTCGGCGGGGGGTGCGCGTGGTGTCGCACAGAAGCGGAAATCGGGACGAAGTGCGGGTAGGACTCTCGCGAGCTGTGATGGGTGTCTGCGCACCATGTCAGCTGCCACGTCGGGAGGGTACCTGGTCGGTCGCACACAGGGTTCAGTGCCTATCACGTTCGCAGGGATGATGCAACTCATCTGGAATGTGCGACAGAGCGACAGCGGTGCCGTGCTGTGAACGGCGCAGAATCCGCTCGGTGTGAACGGCATGTCTTCTCCGCTAATAGCACGTTCTGCGGGCCATGAGCCCGCTGACAGGAAGTGACAGAGCATTCGATCACATCGTTGCAGCGGTGGCGTCGGGAGGACAGCGCGGCGGATATGAGAGACATAGGCAGCTATCGTGCCCCATTTGACACTAACCCAACCCGCTGAAGGGTCAAACATGCCATTCAGAGTCTAGTATATAGGAACAGAGTCAGCTGGACGATTGTGGAAGAGGACGTGGATACCCGTCTAACTTGCACTTGTCGCGATACATCAGAAGTTAATTCTATCACGTGGCCGAAAGCTAGGAAGGAGATTTGCAGTGGTAAATCAATCGCTGGCTCGTACGGTCATTTCTCTTAGTCAAATACGAGTGGCATACTGCTGACGCAAATTTTGACTTTACGTATGTAAAGACATAAGTGGAGGGAAACGTAAGGGCAAGAATAGGCCGAAACATATGATACGGGTTGGTGCGGGCGACTCGGGGGACAGCCTCGGCCAGATCCAATCGTGACGGCAGCGATGTATTGGACTGGTCGAGAACACTGCGTTCCCTGACGCACGCTGCCAAAGCTAGCAACAAAGGGCATCAGGTATCGACACAATTATGAACGACCTGTAACACACGGTGATAGTTCTATGACAAATAGTGCGCGTACAAATGCCACTCCAGCTCCTTCTTTCTGCGTAAATACGCGCGGTTTTGTCACAGCAATCATTCAAGATAGAACATTCTTGTTCCAGAGTCTGCAGAGAAGGCAGGGACGTGCTCGAGTCCATGATCTGCCATTGTCCGAATGTATAACTTCCGTTTACGGCATCTGGCGCTGCAGGTCTGCATTCTCAGCTCGAAGTCTAGGAAGCTGGCTCTGATTATAGCGGGCTTGCGCGCGAAGGGGTCGTGGTTTATGATCAGCTACGGAAATGAAGCCTAAGTTGGACCACTTTACGCTTTTCAAGCCGCATCATGGGTGTTGCCGGCGTCAGATGTGCTCCGCCAAGTCGAAGGTCTTACAAAAATGTGAAGCGACGCGTCCGACATTGTAGCACGCTCGAGAAACTTACTTGCACATTATACGCAGCCATAGCTTTCGGAAGCACAAAGAGCACGGAACGTTGTAGTGGAGAAGCAGAGTTCGCATTACGTAATAAGTCCACGACGCGTTATTCTGAGGAGCACGTGACACGGAGTTGTGGAAGCGCCCGGCGCCCGCGCATTGCGCTGAACATCCGTTCTCCGTTACCTGACATACAATCCTTGGCTGTGTAATGTACAACACGCGCACATCTGGCACTCGATTTGGCGTACGATGATGTGTTGCACTCATCAGGAGTATGTTTCAGAGCCTGTACGCTCTGCGTCTGAGAACATGGTGTGCTCAATGATGTCCATGGTCTCGCCAAACTCGATGTGTGAGTATTCCCAAGGCGATCGTCGAGGGTTAAAGCATGAAGGTCGGCTGGGAGATGTGGGGGCGGAGAACATTTCCATAATATAGGACCGCGGGTCGCTCCGTTGGTAGACTGCCTCGCGCATGCTAAGCATGAGTCGACAGCCGAGCAGTGACGGTAGCGCGGCCGACCAGCTATTCCAATGGGAGTCGGTCTTGCTGAAAATATAACTCAAACAAGAACTTACGGGTTGAACAGGTTGATATATTCTGGTGCACGGGCCCAGACTACGGTGCTGAGCAAAAGCTCCACAAATATCCTGAATAGCGATGAGCTCTCAGACATCCGTAAGCACACTTCGACTCACACTGCGAAGTAGATAAGGCTACAAATATCTTCCGTTAGTACAAACAGTACGAATCTTTTGCGTAGTTCCATACCTTTCTCGGGCCATCCTGGTAATTAGCGGTACGCTTGGCTCATTTTCTCGATTACCCCACGCCTTATATGCTACCAGTGCAAACAGAATGGGCTCGTACACCAGTCCAGGTATCCAAAACAGCGAGGAAACCGATAGCAATCCCTGGTATGCACAGCCAGTGTTTGTTGAAAGGATGGGTAAGCCTAATGCGACGTTAGCCTTCAGGCAGCAGAGAGAATGCGACAATCTCCACTTTCTAAGTGGCTCATGGTGATAGCAATGAGAACCACCATTGCAACAACCTCTATAGTGCATGCTACTATCAGGAAGATCTTGATCTTCCGACTCCTTTCGTACAGAGCATATATCTGCATCCATCTGGCGATTAGTGCTGACTCTGAAATAAATCACCCATGTGAACCCACTCGTAACTGTAGGACTACTATGCATCCGGTCAGCGTTGCGCTGTCGTCATAAATAGCGACAAACTTTGGACCGCCAGGGTGGCTAGGGTGGTACTGTGATCCCTTGTCAGTGCGAAGGACACTCGTTAAAGTTATGATAAGACTAACACTATGCCGTCGCACATAAGGTATATTACACAGCTGCGTCTACCGGTCAGCATGCGTATGTCTTTGACCGCAGAAGAAGTACAGCTCACATCTGCAAGAATGCTTGAGCGTAAGTTATGCTTTGCAACGTCGAGATTAGGCTGACCTTCGAGGTACTGAGTCCAGTCGGGGTAATTGGGACTACACCAACCCGTCCGTCAGATCACAGGTCGATATCAAACGTTTCACGCACTGCAATCCCAGACATAGTAAGAAAATGCGAAAAATCTGTTCTGGAGAGATATTAGGTCATGAATTCGACGGAGAGGGTCAGACTTACAAAAAGGTACAGCCAGAACGCAGGACGCTTATTGTCTCGCATCCACACAAGGTAAATCTACAGGCATTAGCTCGAGTTAGAGTTCGCTCTACATGCTTGACACAGTAGCATGCCTCGCGATCCAGATTGATTACTGCCGACGTGAGCAGGACCCGCGCAACCAGGAAGATTCGAACTCACAGCAATCATAGAATAGCAACCCGATGGCAACCCCTCTGGATCGTTTTCCAATAGCAACTGCGCACGTAAGCTGTCCACGTCAGTCCGCACTGCGCAGAAGCCGAAACTCACGAGCTTCGATGTACGACAACGACAGCCCTGGAGACGCGATAGACTTGGACATCTTGCAACACGAAGGAGCGAACGGTATTGCTAGCACCGCTGACTTGGCTACATCACCGTTGAGCGATGCGTTGAGCGGACGTATCGGCCTCCGGCATATTATATATAACCTTGAAGATAGGAAGCGCCGGTAGGAGATGGCAGGGGTAGAGATCAGAGATCATGCCGCCCGAGAAATACATGTGCACAGGCAGGCAGGATTCTTGAAGTCGGGCCCTGCATTTCGGCGCGGCCAGGTACGAGGCGGCTGTACGCCGTCTGTCATGACCATTGGTCGTCCCGCCGAATACCAGCGGACTTCCTCCGCGATTTCAAGAGCCCGTGGCGCTCGCTGAATCCCACTGCGAGCCACTGTAGGCCTAGCGTCGTGCCGTGGCCGACCAGTTTGCGGTGGAATGTTCTATGGAACTGTTCTCTCGGCGTGGAGGACCAATGAGAAATGTGATCCAGGGATTAAGTCACGGACTGGCTGCATGGTGCAGCTCCGGTCATGCGGCTGTTACCTATGCGCGCCCACAAATAAGGCACCGTAACCTCCGGCACCGCATCGGAGCGCTATTGGAAAGTGAATGTGGTTGTCAGCATTGCGCGAGGCGCGCCCGCATGCAGACGTACCATGCGACGTCAGACAAGCGAACAGGTTGCCAGAATCTACAGAGCGAAATGTCAGTACTACTTACTTCGTTAACCTGCAGGACGGCGGCCACAACCAGCGTACATTCATGTAAGTTCGATAGTCTTCCTGACAATAATCAACATCGTGGCAAACAGCCTAGTACATTCCCCGTCATTTCTTGTGTCATGATATCTCGTTCATCTCGTTCTCTTCATCATTGCCTTGCCGCGCATACGTGATGTCGGGCGAGGCGTCAGTGAATGTCTCTATGATGTAGGTGTTTGTGGAACCGTTGTTGAAGACAGCTTCGCGCATGTTGAGCATAAGCCGACTCCCAAGTAGGGACGGCAGCGCCGCGGACCACCTGCCATGCCCCAGATCGGTTCTTATGAGCTTCCGCGTGCGGTAGCGCTGAGGACGAGTACTCACGGGTTCACGATGTTGATGTACTGCGGCGCGTGCGCCCAGATGATGGTGCTGACGAGCAGCTCGGCGAAGACGCTGTCAGGGGATGTCAGTTCAGCTGTCCCGGTTACGTTGCATGGTTACGTTCCACGCACGCGACAAAATACATCAAGCTGTCGCGGGCAATTCGTTTGACGAGCGGTAAGGTCGGTTGACGCCCGAAGGGGTCCCACGCCTTGTACGCAACCAGGACGAAGAGGATCGGCTCATAGACCAGGCCGGGGATCCAGAAGAGCGACGAGAGCGAGAGTAGACCCTGATATGCACAACCTGTCGCTGTGGACCTCAATGGAAGGCCTGTCATGTGTTCAACCGAAACAACTAGGTTAACTCCAACACGCCGAACGAACCTTCAAGATGGCCCATGGTGATGCCAACGAGGACGGCCATGGCAACGACTTCGAGGGAACATAACGTAACAAGTAGTATGAGGATTCTTCGATTTCGTTCGTATAAAGCATATATCTGGTATTTGTCGAAGAGTGAGTCTTATTCTCGGGATTGATGACCAGGCTTACCCGAAGCTGTAGGACAACTGCCCGGAGGTGAGACGAAACTAATAGCCAGGTGAAGCACACGGACCTTGCACAGCCAGTGTCGAAAGGGTAGTCCTGTGGGAGAATAAGCCTCAACGTGTGCCGAGAAGCTACATCGATATCGTACGTACACTATAGCGTCGCACATGAGATATATAACACAGCTGGTGCCAGCCTGAGTTTTCAAGTCAAGATAATGCGTGACAACCCTCGTACATCTAAATGCTCAGTTAAATTTGCATAGTCACTGTTGGCCTGGGGGGGGGGGGGGGAATACTCACATTTGAAGGCGTCCGTCCAGCGGGCGTAATTGGGACTAGACAAAGTATGAACGATGTTAACAAGCGTTACATCCGCGACAAGCGAGCACATACTAGTATCAAAAATGTAGTAGGCAAGAGCAAAGAACCGGTTCTGCCATGAATTGGCGGAGAGTCCCGGGGATGCGAAAACCGGGGTGCTCACAAAGATGTACAACCAGAATGCTGGTCGTTTTTTGTCGGCTGTCCAGACGAACTCAACCTATTGACCGATAAGCCTAGGACATTGAGACCACAAATCAAGAGCTCATTACCTCGCGATCTAGGCTGAGTACTATCTCTGAGGTCAGTGGAGTAACACGCGGAGGACAGCAACTACGTACAGTGGTCGTAAAATAACAAGCCTATCGCTGCGCTCCTCGACTGTTTGCCGATATTGACTATATTATGCGTGAGCTGCTTCCGGGTGCTACGACACAGATCTCCTCACGTGCGTTCACATATGAGAGAGGCAAGCCAGAGGTACTCATGATGTGGGAGGTCTAGGCAACGGAGATATGGGGCGTAGGTTACAATATACGAATACTCAGCACACTGCTCATCATGCATCATGACGGGCGGCCAATGGCTGGCGCAAGAGGAGAGCATGAGGTCGTAAATGCAATCACTCAAGCCTGTGGGAATGACAACCCGTAGTGGGCCACCTCTGGCGGCACAGCAAGTACGGTCCAATCACCATCTGCCACCAGAACACAAGACGCAAAATGCGCGGAGGTACCAGGCACGAGAGATTGTCAGGTGTGAACATGTGCACATTTCTGAGCGGATGAAAGCGGTAAAGCGCCACGAAGGCAATGCGGTTGTTCTGCTGGCTGCCCTACGAACAGTGTCAGTACGAGAGTAGAGATGGTGAAAAGCGAGACCACCACAGCACCCAAAGTTGTGCAGCTCGTTACGGAGTTTCAGAGGCGGCACCGTCCACGTGAGAGATCTGCTGAAAGAGTCACGATGGCTACAGAACCCAATTACCCGAGCCTCGACGTTAACCGCTCCAGGAAAGAGTGTCATCCTTTTGCAGGGCCCACACTGATCTACTATGTCTTGTTCCGATATTTTCTGTTGTCACCTCGAAGGAGATACAGTAACACGGCTAGGAGGAGACTGGGTTGAACGGTAAGACATGCATTCCGGTAAAGTCGTGAAGAGGGCGCTTACAAGCGACAAAGCTTAAAGAGTTACTTACTGTTTTACGAGAGGAAGATCCGAAAGAAATGAGAAGAGAGTTAGAATGATAAATGAGAGGAGCCCGCCAATCTTCGACTGGCAGTGGGCCAGCGGTGCCCAATGAGAGTGCGTCTTTGTCTCAATATTCGTACGGGCGCCGGGTAGAATATTGGAGGGCCCAGGCGCAGGTAATAGCACTTTGCCATGGTGTGATCGTCGTCGGGTAGCCAGGCGGCGTAGACGGATCCAACGAGAAAGAGTACGGCACATATCGCACTGTGCCATCGTGTGTGGGCATGGAAGTAGTGGCGGCGCATCTAGAGTCTCGTGGGCACAGCCCTTGCACGCCTCCATGGTGTGGGCAGCGACCGGACAGCCGCGAAAATAGTCCCTATAACCAGTTTCTTACACTTGCTTCATTAAGACAGAAGTTTTACTTGTTAGCCTTCACTAAGTGAATTATAACTGCTTTGAATATAGGCGTTTACCCGAGCTGACCGAGGGTAAACCTCGAATCCTTACCGCTGCTCACCAGCGCCTACCCGCCATGGGCGACTCTTTCTAGGGCTAGCTCCCTGTCCACAACACTTGTCTTCGAAACGTACTCGCATGTCTTTACGTTAATCTCAATCTGGAAACCTGACTATGAGCTATATACCTCCTCACGCACTCGATAATCTCAAGAAATACACCTACAAAGGTGTCGACAAGCAGGTATATAGTCCGGTATGATTGCACGGTGTACTGACGAGCTGGAAGGTCTTTGCTCTCGAATTATGTCTTGAACCCGTACTGGAACTGGCTGGTCACGCTCTGGCCGAAATGGGTTGCACCGAATGTCGTACGGGCTCTTTCTTCTTCGCGCCGTGTCACGTCCCTCATCCGCGGATACAGATCACCATGTCTGGACTCTGCATGGTCGTGTTGAATTTTCTAACACTGCTGTACTACGATCCCGCCTACCTGACGGAGAAGGAAGGTGCTGAGGGACCTCCGCAATGGATATACTTCACGTGGGTATCCGTCATATGCTTGTACGGCCCTTGCTGACGTCGTCTTGCAGATGGGCTGCAGGCTTGTTCATTTACCAGAGTTTTGACGCGATTGACGGGTGCGTTACATGACTAATTGGCACATGAAATCTGTTGATCTGCGTTTTCAGAAAGCAGGCACGGAGAACAGGAATGGCGGGTCCACTCGGCGAGATGTTTGATCACGGTGCGTGCGTTATTTCTGCTATTCTTACAGTGAGTCTAACCGCGATGCCAGGCTGTGATGCATTGAATACAACTGTGAGCTACGCGCCTACTGTACCCTGCACTACCCTGGCTGACCGAAAATTACCAGCTCGAGGCGATTCTCTGTTCCAGGGCGCTCAATCTCGGCAGGTCCTGGTGGACCGTCGCGTCGCAGATAGCAACTCTTGCAAACTTCTATCTTACCACCTGGGAGGAATACCATACAGGTCTGTTGTAACTCGCGTCCGTAGGCTTTCTTTCTGATGCGGGGTCCAGGGCAACTATACCTCGGTGTCTTCTCCGGCCCAGTTGAAGGTATCTTGCTGATTGTTGGGATCTTTATCATCACCGGCATTCATGGTAAGCTCTCTTAATGTATAGGTAATACGTGTATTGACTGTAAACAGGTCCGGCTTTCTGGGACACGCCTATCTTAGAGTTCTTCGGTCTTCAAAATGTTCCTACACTCGCAAAATACGCGCAAGGGCGGGGTCTCAACGAGGCTTTTATGGCATTTGGAGCAGTTGCGCTGGCTTTCAACATCGCGACGAGGTCCGTCCATTTCAGGTCACGCAGAACATACACTTATTGGCAACCAGCTACTTCAATGTCTTCAAGTCTCGCTTGAGCAACCACCAGAACCCGTTCCGCCCTCTGTTACACTTGCTACCCTTCCCGGTATTTGCAGCCATCCAGATCTTCTGGCTGCGATCACCGTCGTGGAGTCAATCAGCGATCATCAACTCTCCGCTCTTCGTACCTTTCTTGTGCGCTTGGGGCCTGCAATTCTCTCATCAAGTGGGACGGATGATCCTCGCGCACGTCACAAAGCAGCCCTTCCCATGGGGTGATGCGCTGTGGGTCTGGAACCTACTCGGTGCCATCGACGCTAACCTTCCGATTTTGTTGAACCGGTCCGTTCGTTACCTGCACCATGTGCATATCAGTTCTAACCCGCTTTCTAGCCCACCGATTATACAGCACAACATGCACAATATTGGTGTTGTCGTCTTTTTGACGCTCGGCGTCTCCTTCGTATCGTATGCGCGCTGGTGCACGCTTGTCATTGCAGAAATCACCAACTTCCTCGGTATCGCCTGCTTCACTGTCCGGAAGAAAGACCTGACTGGTCACTGGAGGCGTGCCGCGTCGGTAGACAAGATCATGGTCGGTAAGAAGCTCTGAGCTTGGTCCGAGCTTTTGAGTCCCCTCTTCCGGTCTGCATTCCTCTGCTCTCTTCACCACCCGTCCCCTTCAACATCGTTCATATTTTCCTCTTACTCTTTACGACCTTCACGCCTTGCCCACCTTGCCTGCAAACCCAAACCAAAAGTCTAGTCTGCTCGCGTTATCATACAAGATTTTGTGAACAAGGCATTCTAGAAACCGTTCCGTGTCCACGTACATTGTATCCTCGCTATGTAATTCACGCTGCTTTCTTGCTTTCGCCTCCTTCCCTCTCACCGACGCTCGTGTGACTTGCACAGCTCGCTATAGCAGCTGACCTATTCTGTTGGTTGGCTGCTCATACGGTGGGAATGATTCGCCCTCAACCTGTCTCTTTATACTCATATTAACTCCTCTAGACGATCCGTTGTTTGTCAACGATAGCTCTCTCCTGAGAAGCGCATGTCGCTATGCTGCTTGTGAGGTGCTCTATTCGGGATCTCTGCGCTCTACCGTATCTCTAGCCAGATTTTGGCAAGCCCCTTTCACAACAGCGGCGTCATAATTCGCAAGAGGTGAGCGGGCTGCCGTTCCGCAACCTTGCTGATATTGATATTGAATGCTAGCATGCAGGCACTCACTCCGAGTCCTGCCTTCGCTCGATGATGTCATCCCGTTTGCCATCAGTCGTTCAACTTCTGACTGGTTCGCTAAGATAACCGATCTGGCACCGAGCTGATACCGTGCGCTTCCGTCGCGGCATTCAGTGAACATCTTTCCCCGTACACTGCTCGTGTTCTCATGCGGGAGCTCCTCAAGCATTCATCGGCAAGTGTTATGCTTTCCAGAGTCGAATACTGACGTGAGCCTCAGCATAGGTTCAGGATGCGCTCTTGCTGACATACGCTCCGCTATTCGCCGATGGCCGACAGCACATAGCCATGGTTCTGGTGACAGACATCATATCGATGCTCGTCTAAATGTAAAGCTAGATTTGCACAATCAAGTGCAGAGGTTTTTTCCGCCGATGGGCAAGAGCTGACAGACTGTGTAGTTCCCAGCAGTGAAGCTTATTGGACAGAGCCATTGTGCCTCACATTAGTTCCGGTCTTCTATCGAGTCGGGCGAAGACCCGGTTCCGCTAGAGCCGAAATTCGGCGAGGTATATATATATGAAGGCTTCAGTCTGTTTGATGACATGTTGCTTGATTGGGTATGATTTTCGGGAAAATGAACGACTTCGTCACCAGGAAGACGATGTCATAGCGGACTCGTGGAACATCCTCGTATCTCTACCCATCGACACGGTTCGCGTCAGCGAAAGAGCGGCTTATAATAGGTCTAGTGCTCCACTTTTTCTTGCTTCTTGCTCGACCGACACACACTTTTTCCCACTGGTAGCTCGGGGACCAATAGCCTGCCCAGACATGACTTCGTCGAGGCGAACCACGCACGCTTCGTCGAGGCGATGCTCTCTTCTGTGGGAAATGAAACACGTTCTTACAGCTTGGGAGTAGCATGACAAAATAGCCCTGCTGTTTAAAACGACCCAGCATGCTCTATGCAGCTTCGTGGCTCGGAACGACTATCTCCTGACCCTGCAAGAAGCCCAAGATGATCACTCAGCTCCTAGGCACCGTTACTCTCGCTCTACTATCAGCGGCCTCGCCTCTGGTGGTCCGTAACAGCCCTATCACCCTCCCGCTCACCCGTCGCTTTAACGCCACCGGCGCGAAGACCATTCTCGAGAGGGACCAGGCATGAGCCAAGGGCCTTAGGGCCGGCACGTCGACGAAAATCTCTTCGTCCACCAATGCGAACCAGGCTGCTGCTTCTACCTTCCCGTTGGATGCCACCAACCAAGCGACTTTCTATACCGCTGAGGTACGTCAGCTTGTATGTATTTCCGTTAGCGACTGATCGAACGCGCGTTGTATATTTAGGTCCTGGTGGGCAGTTCTGCCAAGATGTGTTAGTGACGGACGACCTACGTATGAGACTATGCTCACATACTCTGATCGTAGTCAACTTAATTATCGATACCGGAAGCTCCAACACCTGGGCTGGCGCTGATCCCTTAGGAAATCCTTTCGTCGATTCGAGCACAACGAAAGAGACGGGCGAGCTGCTAGTGAGTCTCCAGTGCATGGTAACAGTGCAATCTCAGTTTATCTTTCTTTCAGGAAGTCACCTATGGATCCGGCTTTGTCGTTGGTGAGATTCGCATGCCAGAAGTTGTCACCTTTGTCTGACGCTTTGTCAGGCCGTCTGGTTGAGGACCAGGTTGCTCTGGGGAACCTCACCATCTCGAACCAGGGAATCGGCGCAGCTCTTTTGTCTGAAGGTTTCGATGGCGTCGACGGCATCCTCGGGTAAGCCGACAACTGTGCGGCGCATTCGAGTATAGTGGTCCTAACTATTATACAGAATTGGCCCCACAGATCTGACGCAGGGTGTGATACCTATCTCGTATTCTGCTCACCACGCACTAATTTCAAATCAGACACGACCACTGGTCTCGGCACGGTCCCCACCGTTACCGACAACGCATTTTCGCAGGGACTCATCACCTCCAAGGAAGTCGGCATCTCTTTTACGCCGAGCAACCAGACCACTGCCACGAATGGGGAGCTCACTTTCGGGGGCATCGACTCTAGCAAGTTTGTCGGCGAGATCACCTTCGTGTAAGTTCTCTGTCCTTATCGAAACTTGTTTCCTGGCTAATCAGTGCCGGGACAGCCCGATCACGACCACGTCTCCATCTAGCGAGTTCGTTGGAATCGACCAGAGCATTACCTACGGCACTGCCAACATGCCCGTTCTGGAACAGACTGCCGGTATCGCCGACACGGGCACCACTCTCATCATGATCGCGTCCGGTAAATGTCTGAAAAATGTCCGTGGACGAAGCCTGACTCAGCGTCCGTAGATGCATTTGCGACGTACGAGGGGCTCACTGGTGGTGTGATGGACGAGACAACTGGCCTGCTGATGATCACTCCCACGCAGTTTGCCAACCTTCAGAGTTTGTTCTTCAACATTGGCGGCGTACGTACACCCATCACATAGAAGTGCAGCTGCTTATGCGCTGACGAACATATCTAGACTGCCTTCGAGCTCACGCCTAATGCTCAGATCTTCCCCCGCGCCGTGAGCCATTCTTTGCGCTGTTCCGAGTGTAGTGAGACTAACGTGTGTGATGATAGCTGAACACTGCGATTGGCGGTTCTGCCGACGACATCTTCTTGATCGTCGGTAACCTTGGTACCGAGTCTGGCTCGGGCATGGACTTCATCAACGGCTTTGCCTTTCTCGAGCGGTTCTTTTTCGTTTGGGACTCAAGCACTCCGCGTGCCGGCTTTGCGCAGACTCCGTTCACGTTCACTGAGACGAACTAGGCGGGGTAATTTGTGGTATCAGCTTCAGGCTGGAGCTCAAATCTTGCCATGTACGGTACCCTAACTTGGAATATTATAAGAGACACCATGACTCGCTGTCTAAATGAACTCGCACTGGATGGCAAGCGCAATTTTTCCCTAATAAGATTGGTCGAAAACTAGTTGAAGAAGGCTCTGTGTTTCTTTTTCCACCAGTTCCACCGTGTTTTAGACGCTTTTGGCCAGTTGAGCACTTTTTTTATTTGCTCAATTTGCCTTGGCGTACAACCGGGGAAAAATTGAACCTTATTCAACCACTTTTGCTCAGGTTTTCTCAGTGACAAACCGCGCTTACCGCCCTGTGTCGCGAGTCAGCTCATGTCTGACCCGCATTAGCACCGCTTCCGAATAACCTATGCGCACAACGCTCGAATGTGACCAGGACGCAGCTCTCGCATATACATATCTAATATTCACAAGGCCCGGACCTAAAGCTGACAGTATTATACCGATCTGACATACGTCATACACCGCAAGACATTGAGAACGGGCCAAAGTATGGGAAGAACACATCATCGCAAACGCCGGTGTCGACCGGCCAACTTTTCAATTTTGCTACCTCTGTCCGCAGACTTCGACTTTGCCGGCACTACCACACCATTGTTGCTCCCGGAGGTGCTGCAGATCGCGTTCGTAGGTGGATTAGTAACGAC